ATAAATCTTAAAAAAAAAAAAAAAGTTCCCCCTTAGAGATATTAGCAATAGAGCCTATGTCTACATTTTCGGATTCCCAGACATCAGATTAACCTGAAACACATCTCTACATCTCTGCATCTCTACCAACCATGGGTATGTTTAACAACAGATAGTCTCTACTTTCAAGTAGAACATATTCTCCAGAAAGATGGCAGACCGTTGTTCCATCTGTAGGGATTTAAAGGTAGAAACTGTATTGAGTGAAGTTGTAAGGAGGGAGGTAAATGTTTTTAGTTAACAAATAGATGGTATTATCAAGACCTAGCTTTGACTTAGTAGGCGTTACAAAACAACTATTACTATGTGTTTTACTGTGTATAGATTTTAAGCTTTTTATAACAAAGCTGGGTCTAGCAGCACATTGTTCAATTTTCTTTGCCTCCTCATGGATTTGCCAGAGGAAAATTTGTGAAGACTTTCCTTTTTAAAACAAATTTTAAAAGAATATATACACTGAGTACATAGTAAGCAAAAAGATCTTCGTTAACATATCCAGAAATGAAATATTGTCAGTTCAATAAAACTTTATTTAAACATGTTTATCCATGGACATGATAAACAAACCAGAGGCATGATCTTAGAGACTTTGGGGAGAAGACCTCCATTAGGGAAGAGCCAATGCACAGAATTAACTCTCAGATCCAAAGGTTGCTTGAACAAAGGAAGGGTGGAGATGATGAAGCAAACACAAAGTAGGCAAATGCCTAGTGAGTTAATTGTTAGTTCCATCTGAAGGAGGAAGTCACTCAGTGACTTGTCCAAAAGGTAGAAGCTGGCTGGTTTATGTTGATAACCTCAGATGAGCACAAGCACTAGTCCAATAAGGAAATGAAATAGAAGGAGTCAAAGATCATATTTTTAAGGCTATTGTCTGAGTTTTAAAATTTGAAGTCTCCCTGGGTTTCTTTCACTTGAGAAAATTAAGTTCTTTTGGCCATATGAATCTTAGGGATAAGAGCATGACCTTCCCAGACTTATAGATCCATCTTTGGGGTCAAATGACAGTGTGGTGAACAATTGTTGGACCCGTGGGTTATCCCAGTGTTTACGAATTTTGTTGGAGTAAGGCAAATGCATTCCATTGTGAGTTTATAGCACAGGGAGTTGTTTATTATAGCTAGTTATCTACTGGTAAGAACTGAGAAAAATAAGTGCTCATTATTGTTCACATTGCCACTCATGTAACCTTGTAAGAATTTTCTATGGGCTGGTAAATTTCAGTACTTATCTACAAGGCTATTTTGCAACCGGGAATCTAACATGCAATTATTATACTAACACTTAATTTAATATGTCATGCTTATACTTCTGTCTTTAAGATAGTAAATGATAGAAGCCATTATATCAAGGAAAGGAAGAAAAGGTATAATTTAGTAGAAAGGGATGGGTAAAGAACAACATTAGCCTTTTTTTAACTGAAGCTTTTGAAATGAGATATTTAAAGGAAAATCTACCCAAATGATGGCTTAATTGACAAGGAAAAATAACTTCATTCTTTCCCCTCTGTTTACACACACTATTGTTTCCGCCAGTGATGTTTTGTTTACCTTGGAAGGAAATATTTTACCCCCTCTGAGATAATTAATTTTTGTCAGCTTCCCTGTTTATAAGGGAAACTGAGAAACTGTTAATTGAAATACAGAATGAGTCACTGTTTTCAGTAATTTTTGGCAGTGTTCTAATTTGTGTCAATCTAGCCTAATTATTAGATTTTTTGGAAGCAAAAGCATATTTGATTTTTCTCTTACTGAATTTGTTCTTCCTCCTTTGGAAAAAAAAAAAAATATGTGCTGCCTGACATAGGTTATATAATTTATATCAACATGAGGTGAAATACCAGTCCATTTGAAATACCAGGAGGTTTATTGCATCACGCTTGGCTCTTCACAGTAGCTCAATATTTAGAAAGCTCACAGAATGTGGTCTTCCTCCTTTCCTCATTCCTACGCCCAGCCCAGGCCTGAAAATGTGATTCTTTTTAAGACCTTTTCACTGGTATTAAGCCACAGTATATGGCCCGTCACTAATGACATCACTGAAGTAAGCTTCCCAGAAGCCATCAGGGAGAATTCATTTGGAAACCCAAATGAATGTCACTCGCAGAGGGCAGGCTCCTAGAAGAGGCAGCCAGTCATGCATTCCTGAATTATTTGCTGTAAAAGCATTAATCACTGAGAACTCATTTGCTCCTAATGCAAACACACTACATTATTCCACAGGAATTCTGTTCCAAATGATCATTAATGCAGAGAACGGAAGCCGCTGACGGTGGCCAGGGTTAATAAAATCTGTCAGATCAATGGCCAGTATAATGAGAATGTTAACGGTTCCTAATAGAAGCTGGGTCTTCCTGGCTCTGGCAGAGTGAAGCAAGCAGAGTGGCAGGTGGCTGTGCTGGGCATTCGGCCTCTCTCTTGCCTGCCTACTGAGGTGGCCTCTGAGTGAGGAAGCACTGATGTTAGTCACTGAGTGTTGTCAGGGCTCTGAAGCGGTTTGTGACTGGGGCCATAGGCACCAGCTGTGGGCTGGGGCAGGGATGGGATGGGGGCCCAGGGGTGGTTTCTCCACACTTCTGCCACGGCACTCCAGCAGCTCACACACCACAGCCCCTTGCAGGTGGCAGGCCTGGCTGCGTCTGAACACCTGGCATGCAGACATCCCAGACCGTCACCCAGCCCCACTCCACATTCGACCCGCAAGGAGAGGAGAGGCAGCATTAACAAAAACAGTGGTAGTGGCAGCTAGTCCCTCACATTCTTTGGGAGTTCTCATGGGCCTCGACTCAGCCTCACACCACTTACCACAATGCTCAGAGCAGCGCCTCTGTGCAGTGTGTGCGTTTCTCTGTCCCGGAGGAAGCTGAGGTTCGCACAGCTGTAGGAAATGCCTGAAGTCAGGTTCTAGAGTCTGGGCCCTTCCTTATGAAAGAGAAAGGCACAGATGCTGCGGCCTACACTCTAACCAAATAAAGACATAGAGTTACGCATCAATTATAGCAGTCGCTGGGCTCAGGGATGTCACAGTGCCAGGGATGTCACAGTCGCCAGGCTCCCGCACCCAGCTGACTCTTAAGATGGAGTCACCCCTACTTCAGCACTGTCATATGCATCATGTTTCTGTCAGCTGGGGAGTGGGCCTGCAAGTCCTTGCTCTTCTATGTTCAACCAGTCAGGATGTTGAGACCGGCTTTGTAGGGTAGACCTGAAAGCTATGGCCTGTCTACAGCCCTGCGCCTCTAGGCTTTGTCACTAACACCTGGGCAACCAGACCTTTAAGGGGCTGCAGGTTTGGTGCTGCCTCACTGCAGCTTTGACAGGGCCATTCCAGGAGGCCTTGAAGCCAGTGCTGCCCTACACTTGAGTCACCCCTCACTTATCCCAGTCAAATGCATCTCATTTCCCTTATCTGGGGGGTTGTGCTGCTGACCTCGCCCGGTCTTGCTGGGGCAGAGTGGGAGGAAGGGCTGGCCTCCCAAGACAAGAGGGTGTGACTGGAGCAAAGGCCACAAGCTGCTGGCACAGGAGGCTGAGACAGGGGTGCTGTGACATCCCTACTCCCAGCGACTGTTGCAGCTGATGCAGTGACACAGGTGCCTCCAGGCTCTGGACTGGGGACTGGAGTGGGATGAGGTTCACCAGTGGGGAATGTCAGCACAAGGGGGTTCCAGGAGCTGAGGATATTAGGGTACAGGGGTGAAAAAGGAATCTAGTAACATAAAAATGTAAAATATCAACACTATTGGTTGTTTCCAATAATGCAGAGTGCAGTAGAAGAGTTAATAAATGTGTTTAATGAATGAGAGGGTGTTGCACATGGCATGTCACCTCTCCCAGGTTAGGTCCAGATCCCGGAAGAAGACAGAGGTCGGTAACCTTTGCACCTAAGTACAACACTATCCCTAAAGATGTATATCCTTTTTTATGTCATTAAAAATCTAATGTTAAGGGACCCTCCCTGGAGGTTCAATGAGTTAAAGCACAGTACTATGAAGCTGTCCACAGCCACTACAGCACCAGTGTCATCCTGGCCAGGGAGCTGACCCACATGGTGCGGCAGACCTCTCCTGTCTCGCCCGCTGCTCCCCTCAGCAGAGTATTTCAGTACATCTGCCAGTTCTGCTCCCCACTTTGTTTCTGTGTTTCTGGTGAATCCTCTCAACCCCTGCACCTCTGCCAGTACCCCAGCTCTTATATAAATATATATTTAAATATAAATATATATAATATATATATTTTTTAATTCTAATGTTAAGGATTTAAAAGATGTGACAAGACAGTATAATGGAGGGCGTGGAACAGGGAAGGCATGGGGAAGACAAGGATTTCTCCAAGGGACACTCTCTCACGCATCTCATGGCACCTACTGCCTGTCCCAAGCCAGTTACCTGGTGCTATATGCAGTGGGGTACACAGAGCCAGGCCAGTGTGTTTGATTCCCCTCCCTCCCAGCTTAGTAATGCACACCCCATGTTAGATGAGACAGCACAGGGTAAGTCAGGCAAACTGGGTGAGAGATGACCTACTGGAGAACAGAATGCAGACAGCATCATGGAAGACTGGATGGCTGCAGAGAACACAGAAAATAGGAAAATCAGGAGAGAAAATATTCCATAGAGTTGAGGCACAAACAACAGCATGAGGTGGGAGCAACGAGAATGAAGAGAAATGGCCCAGCCTAGCGGAAGAGTGGGCATGGGTATGCTGTGTGTGTGCGTGTGGGCGTGTGTGTTAGAGGAGGGAGCCGTGGACCCCAAGAGGGAGATAGTGTGTTGCAAACAGCCCGTGTACACACATATTCCTGAGTACGGAGACAACAGGGATTTCAGGAGCACTGTCTGAGTCCAGCTTTGGCAAGTTTCATCTGGTAGCCATGTAGGATGGCAGAGTGGAAAGGGGGAACTAGGGTACTGTGAGCAGCCAGGGGCCTGGTGTGGTGACTTGTCATCTTTTCTCCTACAGCACACTAGTATAGTGCTACCCTCCCTGGTTGAAATCATCCTCAGGCCGCACTGCTACCCAAAGAAGAAGAGGGGCCTCTCCTTGTTGGCTCTTGCTTGTTTCGCTTACATTACCAGGTAAGAGTTGCAGCGGGAAAACCTACTCGGATTTGTCACTGGAGAACCTGAAGGATCTTTCCAACGAAGCATACTGTCCTTTCAGAGGGTCTTGGTTCTTGGGCTAACAGATCTTTAAATGTTCAGGTCAGAAGGATTCTTGTTGTCTGGTTCTGATACTCATGGAACCATCACTCACAGAGGAATCAGCAGAAATTGACTGCAGAAATTCAGGAAGTCAGAAGCTCTTCTCTCCTGCTTGTGAACAATCGATCATTCCAAAGCTACACTTTCCCCAAGAAAATATTGATCTTTGGTTGCATTTGAAATTCAAATGTTTTAATGGCTGAATGATCTGATGTATCTAAATCCATTCCATCTAAAAGGCAGTTGACAGGTTGAGCATGTTAGATTTGGTCTATTCCTCTTGTCTGTATCACTGTCAGTTTATTAACATCAATACTTGGCACGAGACCACCTACAAGAGCATTGGGCAATTGTCTGAGGAGCTGAGAATCAGCCTAGCTAGAGGCAAGGCCCATCATTTAAGGAGGTGAGCAAGATTTCCTCCGCCAACTCCCTGGAGGCACAGAATTCTCAGAAATGTAGCCCTATGGTCTGTAATCCAGGGAAAGTACTCAGTCTTGCACCCAATAACTGAAAACCTCCCTTTCCAACTGATGGCCTTTTCTGCTGCTTTACAGCAAAGGCCATGTAAAGCTTACTCCTGTGGATTGGATCCTTCCACATGATGTTCCTTCTCTGTCTAGATTCACATAAGCTGTTCACCTCGGACAGTCTCGGTAACCCCTGAATCCTGCATGGCGGGGTGGAGGGGAGCGTAATTCAGCATATGCTTTCTCTGAAACAGAAGCCAGAGAGAGCACATTCCAAAGGGCAATAGTCTTGCCTCATCAGCCTCCTTTAGGGCTCAGATGGTGCTTCCTTTCTAGCTTTCCCAGCCCTTTTGTGACACCCACTGCCAATCTGATGCACCTCTCTTTTCCCAGTTGCTTCTCCTGTCCTGAACAAAATTCTTGATGAGGAAACCCACCCAACCTCCAGGGATCAGCGTGGTTTTCCATTGCATTTAACAAATGGCACTTTTAGAAAATAAGACTTCAGCTAGGGACATACTGGTGGGTGGTGGATGGAACACTGTGGAAAGAAGGATTCAGAGACCCACAAAAAGAGCTGTGTTATCACTTAACAATATATTCCAGTAGCATGAGAATGAAGTACATAGGATATGTGCCACGTATTTGCCATGTTTGGTTTATCCCAAAGGAAAGCTATCCCTAAAGAGAGAATATTTAGGCCTGGGGGTAGGGAAAGAAATAAACATAAAGGCATTTCTTTTTGTGTTGTATGATTGAGGAGAAGCAAGGTGGTAGGTAGCTGTCTGGAAATGCACTTAAATGTCCATACTTTGGGGTGGATATTACTCTGTTTTACTCTTTCTCCCTATGCATGACTTTTGGAGTTTACTGATAAGATATCAACTTTTCCTACCCAATGACTTGAAAGTTGACCATCAATTTTCATATCCTATTCTTATTCCTTTATCTTCAAAGCTGAACAAGACGGTAACAGAGTACTGCAGGGCACTGGGGTTGGGGGTGAAGTCTGTGGTAGCCTTATGATGAGAGGCAGTGGTCAAGGGAGCTGGGCTTATAGGTTCCTGGTCATCCTCTCCCACAATGCAGGGAATAGGGAGGTTATGGAAAGAAGGGACAAAAGGTGGGGGCCAGGCGTAGGCACGTCACACATCCATTCAATTATTCAGCAGTGCCAGGCACTCTGCTGAGGTACTGAGGACACAAAAGTGAACAGGACTCTGGGCTGCTTTTAGGGACTGTGTGAGAGGAGAATGTGAGCAAATACTTGGGACCTAGCAGTGGGAAAAGAAGTGAACATAAAGGTCTATCTTTTCATTGTAAGCGCTGAGGAGAATCAAGGTAGTCGCTGTCTCAATTTGCGATTAAATTTCCATACTTTTTGGTGTATTTTAATCTGATTTACTCTTTCTCCAGTGTAACTTTTGGAACTCACCTATAAGATTTGAGAGATGATGAGAAGAGAAAGGAATGAGATGTCTCAGGGGTAAGAACAGGGTGCTATATGAGGTGTGGAGGACTTTTTTCAGACAAGTGGTGTCAGGCTGAGATCCAAAGAATGCGTAGTAATAAGTCAAAAGCACATGGAAAAGGACATCAGATAAAGGGAAGAGCATCTATTAAGGTTAAAGGAGCTGAGTAAGAGGATAGGGAGAAGCTAGTTCGTGAGTTCACAAGGATGAATTTGAACTTTTAAGATTTCATTGTGAGAAAAATTTAAGGAGAAAAGCAAAATAATGTTTCAGAAAGATGATTCTGACTGAAGTGTGGAAAGGAAAGAGGAATAATGCAGAGAGACCACTTGGCAGAATTTGTGGTAACTTAGGAGAGCCGATGTTAGCCAGCTAAGCAGTATCAGTCAGTCTGCACATAGAGTCAGAGAGTGGGTGATGGAAGACAACGGGGAGTTCACCCAGTATTGAAGACCCAAATCCTCAGGGGTTAAATGCCCTGCAAAAGGCCAAATGGGCATGTCAAAGCTGAGGCTTAAACTAAATTCAGTGCTCCTACTCCCAACTCCTGTCCTCTTTCCACTGCATCTCACAGCAAGGTATTTGTTGAGCTTCCCCAAATGGCAAACACACCCCGATAAATGCTAAGGTGGTGGGCAAGCAAAAAGTGCATCCTGTCTCTCCAGTCTGAAGGTTCTTGCTTAAAATTAGACATTAAAATGTTAGTAATGGAGCAAATGAAGGAAAGAGAAGAGGACTCATTACTGGCAGAAATGTGATTGGTAGGTCCTAGCAGGGAGCCAGAGTGGCTTGGGACTCGGACCTCTTATAAAGAAGAAAGACTAAGTCAGCACTCGGTCCACTAGGGCCCAGTTTTGCCAGGATGAATCAAATGGGGGCATCTGACTTCTGTGCTGCTGAAGCTTCTTCTCATCTCTGTGCTTTCCTGTTAGGGGCTCAGCCCCGCGCTCTGCATCCCAGTCTTCTCAGCACTCCAGGGCCCCAGGGTGCTCTCAGACACAGATCCTCAGCAACAAAGTGACTATCCACGGAGATGTTTTAGGGATGCGGCTGTGGGTCAGTTGTGAATACGCCAGTTTAGATGGTCAAATAGGGAGACAGCACAGCAGGAGTGAGGGAAATAATATGAGCCTGGGCCAGAGAGAGCGTGAGAAATAAACATGAATCAGAAAAATAGCAATAGCTGAGCCAGGGAAGCATTTCACTGCCGAAACCATGTTAAAATGATCTAAAAATAGCCACCCAAGCCATAGGGACTGCCTCACACTTGATTTTCGCTGTTTTTCAGATTGCAAAATTGGAGGGCTGGTCTTTCAGTGACAAAACAAAACTTTACAAAGCAGTAAAAACTGCAAATCATTCATTTCCCTTGGAAAGTGTTAGTCACCTATAAATATGATAGCTCATACACTCCTCCTTTCTCTCTCACCCCAAAACATCTCACCTAACTCTCTTTGAGGCAGTGGCAAGGAGCAGGAAAATAGAAATGTTCCTCCTGCTGGCTTTTATTCATTCTCCTGACAAATATTTCCCCTAACACAGAACTGGTCCTGCTGGGAAAAGCAGTTACATAAGGTCAAAACGCAGTCTACAGTAGGCTTGTATTTAATAAGTAGAGATGAGTGGTGCATACAGATTTCAGCATAAGAGTTGTTCAAGTGTCATGACAGATACAAAGAGCCACATGAATGCTAAGAAGGAAAGAGTTACATGACAAGAGCTTCACAGAGAGTGTGCATTGGATCTGCGCCTGAAGGACTCATGGACAGGAGATGTGAGATGCAAAATGAGAGAAAGTGAACAAACTGATAGAACCCCAACCAATGGTCACCTTATTCTTTAGCTGGACCTTCTATTGAAGAAAGAACAAGAGATATTGGGGCCCCCGCTCATGGCAACTTGTGGATGGGACTACAGTGTTGACAGTACAGTGTGAGTGGGTAATGGGGTTGAGATGTGTTAGTATAACTTGACCCCAAAGTTATATTTTCAAATGTTGTCTTGAAAATGGTACTTAAAATGGAGTGGTGAGACATAGGAAGTGAAATAGAATAAAGCAGGTCAATGAGAAGTTGCCCAGACCATGTGTAAGCCATCCAGTATAATCACAGTGTCTTATCCTTCATCCACGCTGTCCTCTCGCTCCAGCATCATCTTGTGCCTGGGGTCTTAGAGCACCCTTGGGTGCTCTTAGCCATCAAGACCTAAAGAAATCTAACAAGCCAGACAGTATCTATCCTTGCCTGGGTATACACCACCTTGAGCATTGCTCCTCTAGGGATTGTAAAGTCCCAAAAGCTAGTCCCGAGTCTTCCATCTCTACTTGGCCCATGTGAAGGTTAGGCTGCTGCCCTGTAGCCTGCCAAGAGCAACACTGCATTGGCCCTGGAGTCCCTTATGTTGGTAGCTGTAGAACAATGTGACTGCCACTACATCAGTCCCACTGGACTAGAGTGTTCTGGGTACCTGTTGTGGGTAGACCAGAAATCTGCTAGCGCCTTCGGTGTCTCTACTAGTATGTGAAGTTCTTACAAGGTGAGAGTGAGAATCCCTCCTGCTCCTACTCTTGCAGTATCATGAGTTTTCTCCCTAAGCTACTGTTACTCCATCCAGAAATACAACCTTCTTGGGGACCACTCAAAAGCACCACAGTTTCACCACCTCAGATATTAGTGGGAATCAGTTTCCCTGCCCCATCTTCCTCAGAAGGCCTCCTTAGTCCTTAGGTGAATTAATGGAAGAAAATAACTAGAAAAACGCCACACAATTTTACTTAGCAATAGTTGGGGTTCAGCTATGATACAAAATGAAGAGGGGTGAAAATGTGGAAGAAATGGTTACCTACAGTTCTCATCCTTCCTGTCCAAGCCACCACCTACCAAACAAAATGCTGATCAGAGATACTGGAGAGGGAAGAGAGGCCGGAAGAGGG